TCAGGGTGACTTCTTTTTAATCTTGAGCATACACATGGTACGTGTGTCATATTGCTGGCTCTGAGCAGACTAGTTTTGATCTTTTTAAGGGCATATGAGTCCGGTATATTAAACACAATTGCATTGCTAGATCGTCTAACTCTTTCAAATACCTCTGATGCAACACGATCTAAGAAGTTATTGATGTCATTCATTTGATCTGGAGTCTCTGTGAGATTAGGGTTGATGAGATACTTGAGCGGATTGAGAATGTTCATGTCAACTTGCAGCCTTTTTATATCATTCGTATGGTTGCAGTTGCGATTATCATCATTATTTACCAACAGAGTCTTCAACACGTCTGGAATGGAAACAACTGGTAAAAGCTTGTCTGCTTCCGGATGAACAGAGTAGCTTGTCTCATTGAAACTGTCAGTAGCAATTTTAGATTGCGTAGTTTTCCTACGTTTGGCTGGACGCCTACAAGCAGGGGCCTTTATTTTCTTTTGTTGCATGATAAAAAAGTGACGTATAGCAGGCGGATTGAACAAAATATTGGAAATAGAGATGAAAGAAAGAAAAAATCAATGTCGAGGACTGAAGTCTAATCAAAACCTATGCTTAACACAAGGGTGGATGTATCGAGAGGATCGGTGAAAGTGTAGAAAAACAATGGATAAGAATAGCAGGAAGGTATTAGTGGTGACAAAATATACTGTCATAAAAAAAAAAAATAAATAAATAAACGTATGACAGACTCACCGAATTGGACAGGTGATCCCAGAATTTAAGTGAGTTATATTATCCAAATACGATTTTAATGAAAGTATGTGGAATAATGAGTACAGTGCTTTGTCATACACAATTATATATATTTCTAGATATTGGGTAGAGATCTGAATAGATCCTGTAAATACATAAAGTACGTGTGTTGTAGCATACAAACACGATATAATGAATAGAATACAAATATGAAATTATATTCCTCGCCGAATATGATTATATACGGTTTTTGGAATGACAGAGGAAGGTTATATCGTATAGCCAAAATGAATATACAATTATTTGATTATGAGTTATTGTATGAATATGATCATATATACTATCAATAAGTTAAAATTAAGATCTTATCGTATAGCATAAAATTTGCAGCTTAAACGTGAACAGATCAGAATTGGGTTGTCTTCCGTAATTCCAAGGAAAGATAATCCATCCAGTTCAGTGAGAATCCTAGAAAAAAGAAACAATGCAGACCACGGCCAAAAAGTAACGACCTCTTCGTAGCGCGCGCTATCATGTCGGCGGCACAATATTTCCACACAAACGCATGCAAAAAGGCATATGGATCTCACCGGATCACCCTACGGAGAACTGGATTGATCATATTTGCATCAGTAACAGGTTCATAGGGTCAATGGATGATGTGATAATCAAGAGAAGGGATGACATAGCTTCAGATCACAACCTAGTGGTTGTCAAGTTGAAACCGAAGTTAGAGAAGCATTAGACAACTGGTCAAACGGCATTAAAAAGGTTCCTTCGAAGTACTCACAAACTCAACCAATTCAAGATAACTCTCAACAATAGGTTCCAAGCTTTACAGGACCTACTGAAACAACAAGAAACTTCGGTGGAAGGAAACTGGAAAGGGATCAAAGAAGCACTAACTTCAGCGTGTCAGGAGGTTCTGGAACGCAGGAACCATTATCATAAGGAAAAGATTTCTATGGGAACGATGGAAAAATTGAAGAAAGGAGAGACAAGAAGATGGCAATTCACATCAGTCGGACACGAGCAGAGAAAGTCAAGGTGCAAGCAGAGTACGCTGAAGCAAACGAGGAAGTGAAAAAGAGCATTAAAGCCGACAAGCAGAAACATGAAGAAGAGCTAGGAAGAACTGTGGAAACAGCTGCATAAGGTATTGTGAAACATCTGTATGATACAACGAAAAAACTGGCAGGGAAATATAGTAAACCAGAGGCCAGTAAAATGCAATGAAGACAGACCAACTACATAGGAAGAGGTGGGTTGAATATTTTATGAAGCTCTTGAATAGGTAGGCTCCACTGAATCCACTGGACATCGAAGCAGCAGCTACATTCCTTCTTATAGCTTTCACTCCACCAACGATCGAAACCTGCCCGGTCATCAGACAAATCAAGAGTGGGAAAGCAACATGACCTAACAATATACCAGCTGAAGCACTGAAGTCACCTGTAAACATGACTATAAACATACTCCATGTTCTATTCAAGAAGATTTAGGAGGAAAAGCAAGTGCCGATATAGATGTAAAAGCGAGGATTGGCAAAGCAAGGACCACATTACTACAGTTGAACGACATATGGAACTCAAAACAACTGTCAACCAATATCAAAGTGGGAGTCTTCAATACTAACGTCAAGAACACACTACGTTGTGAGTAGGAAGCGGACATGAAAAGGATGAACGGCAACTGGAAACAAGTGTAAAGGATTGCCGAGAACTGAGTTGAGTGGCGAATCCTGGTGAGCGGCCTATGCCCATCCATGAGGGTTAGCAGGCTTAAGTTAGCAACCTCGATCAACCGATTAATAACTTTTCAGAGATCACAGCATTCAATGTTAAAATATGTGAACGCATAATATACTCGTGGAAAACAGGTATTATAACCAAGTAGTTAGTGTTTAGAGCTTAAGTTCAGTAAGAGCAGCATTCTAATTATTCATGAATGCTGAATACGGTGACATCAGACGTGGTAATAATTACCATCATACTATCAGCGGCACATAGCTTATATGAGTGTAGTAATACAAAGACTTAGGGGTGTCAGTAAGCTGCAGCTTAAAAGCAACTGAGCATTTCTATCTAGCATCCGCCAAAAGTTATGATCAATCCTCTGAGAATTCATATGATTTGACGTGCTGTTTCGGATCCTACCTTTGTAAAACCACGCATGTGTCTAAGCAGCCTGTTCAAACCTGATTAAGAATACTGCAACTCGAGCGTCTTCAGTGTGAGGGAACAAAATAGGCTAGGGGTCTTCCAAAACTTCTCTACGATGAACTCTTAAAACACATAAACCTTTTAGACTCACCATCTATTAGAAAGCTAAGTAGCCTTATATTGGCATTCTTTATCTTGAATGACGATTCAGGTGTCAGTATGTTTTACGTTTTCGCTCTCTTTAGAGCGAACCGTCTTTGAGGTCATAGCAAGAAGGTTGGGAAACAACGATTTCATGAACCCAGAATAAAGTTCAACTTTTCTTATCGCCTTACCCTGGTCCGGATATGCTACATTCCGCTGTATTGAGGGAAGCAGCTTCAATCCTGGCGACACAACTTAGCGTGATGTTTGCACACTCACTAAGCAGAGGCAAACTACCGGTAATTTGGAAGCTCACCCACATCACACCAATTTTCAAAGGAGGTCGACGCAGTGAACCCTCAGGCTACCGACCAATGGCCCTTCTCTCCATACCTTCAAAAATTATGGAATCCCTAGTATTCGACGGCATACTAGAACACTTATCATCCTCAAAGTTCTTCTCGCCTCAACAGCATGGTTTCAGTAAAGGTCATTCTTGTATGACCAACCTGCTGGCTGCGGTGGATAGATGGACAACCATCCTTGATCGCAAGAGGAAGGTTGACGTAATCTACCTGGACTTCTCAAAAGCTTTTGATAGGGTCAACCACGTATGTCTTATCAAGAAGCTTAAACGATTGGGTATAAAACCCCTTTGACTGATTGGCTCTCTTCATATTTAGAAAACCGACACTTTAAGGTTAGGGTTAACTTCACTCTCTCTCAGGCTATGGAATATCCTAGTGGGGTCCCCCAGGGTTCAATACTAGGACCTCTTCTCTTCTTGATTTACATTAACGATCTTCCTCAAGAAGTTTCATCTGACTTATTGCTTTTTGCTGATGATGTGAGACTTTGGAGAGAGAGATACGTAATCATAATGATATACTAGTTCTTCAGGAGGATCTGACCCAACTTCAAAGTTGGGCAGACGACAACGGACTTACCTTCAACACTTCAAAGTGCAAGGTAGTCCATCTGAGACATGTTGCAGACTATAGTTATAACTTAGGTAACTCCCCTCTATAAGCTTCCCAAGTCGAAAAAGATTTAGGAGTGTTGGTACCCTATGACCTGAAATCGTATGCGAACTGTGACAAAAACGCCTCTCAAGCAAAACTTGCACTGGTAACATTGAAGCGCATTTTTGGCCAGTTTGACGGTAGAACCTTCCATATAATCTTCAACAGTTTTATTCGTCCCCACTTAGAGTACGGAAACATAGTATTTCCTCCCTCCCTCCAAAAGGATAAGGACACTCTGGAACGTATACAACGTCGAGCCACGAAATCAGTTCGGGGTCTCAAATTCAAACCTTATGAAGAGCGCCTCAAATCACTTTACGTTTACTCGTTAGAGTACAGGCGTCTTAGAGGTGATCTTCTTATGACTTACAGTATCCTTAATACTTCTGGTCATCCCCTTAAACAACTTCTTAAGCTTAGTCATAACACTAACCTGAGAGGTAACACCCAGAAATTGGAGACCCTACATAGCAGAACAGACTGCAGACACAACTTCTACTCCGTTAGAGTTGTCAAGTGCTGGAATTCGCTGCCGACTGAGCTAGTCCAAGCGACCTCCCAGGAGTCCTTTAAGAGGAAACGTGACTAATTCTTAAGGACTAAGGATAAAATATTATTATGATTTACCAAATTCTATTTTTTCCCTCTATTATTGTTCATATACCTAGGTTCTTGCCTGGAGGTATTGGTGATCCACTGCTACCAGATACGGAAGCCCGTTAAGCGAAAGCTTCTTCTATTCCGTCCTCAACCATTTGAACCATTTGAACCCGAACAAGTAGTATCAGCCCATCAGTGAATATTTTCAAGGCGGAGGTGAACATTTACTGGAAAAAAACCTAGAAGAATTAACGCGAGTCCACTAATCTACTGTCCTTACTACTGAAGACTAAAATTTTGGTATCTGTTCTGCATACATAGTATTGATATTGATGAGCGGGCAAATCTAGTTAAGCGTTACAACAACTGTAATGAGGATAACTGTTTGCCTATCCGGAGATTCATTTTTTCCACTGGAGGTTTCAAATAGAACGTTAATATCGGAACTCAAAATGCTTATTGAAGTTGAAAGTGGCATATCTGGAGTTGATTTTGAACTATCAAGAGAAGGGCAGGTTTTATGTGTTCAGTCAACTACCAATATCGAAAAAGCAGGAATCAGAGATGAGGATCTTCTTTTTGCCGTTCCTATTCCAAGACGCAACACAAATGAATCGAAAAGTGGTGGTTCAGTAAGGCCATTTTTCGACATACTTAATCATATTAATTCTTGACAGTCACATCCAGTTCCTTTATTAGATTTTAAGTCGATCAAGGTTCCGAGTTCATCAGGTTCTGGGATACCTGAAGCTATTCGCAAGCATTTTCTGACTGGTGCTTCCCGTCAGATTTCTATATTGGGCGAACGAAATCCAGAGTTAGCTGCCGTTATTAATGACCCAGGTGAAATATTGATTTTTTTTCAGAACTTCAGATAAACTACCCGTATCACAATAAGCAACTTAAGACTTAAGCGGTTTATATTAATGGTTACAATAGTTACAATCGTGTCGTACTTTTCCCAGAAGTTCGTTAACTCGCTAGTCGCTATTATGAGGCTTGGTAGATTATACTTAACCTCTACAACTTATGTTTTTATGACTGTCCATCCCTATTTCGAAAGTCTCAACGGCCGCCTATACCACGTTTTCACTTAGATCGTTCCTTTGAGCCGTAAATCGATGTGAGGTACAAACTTTTACCGTAGTTTATAAGTCCTTGGATGATTTTTACGGCGAGACTATAATTTATGGACCACCTTTGAATGAATCTCAAGTGACTTTAAGAAATGTCAGCCAATCAGTAAACAGTCAGTATAGAGTAAAAATATATTATACAAAACCAGCTAATTAAAGTGGATACACTTCTTTTATATGGTCCATAAACCATTTGACTGTGGTTCAAATTATAGAGCCTTACATCACTTCATCTACCAAGTACATTTATTTGCTGTGGGTATCATTATATCCACTTGAGTATCGAGAGGGAATGTCTTGGAAACAACACTACCGGAAAGCATACCAAAGGTCTACTTTTCGACACGGCTTTAGGCTTAATCCAGATTTTTTTGTTTTCTACCATTTAATGGTTAGTTAGGTCTAACAAGGTTTCTGGAGATTAGCTCAAAGCAATTTATTTATTTATTTAAACACATAAATATTGGTACGAAGAGACACCAGATATATATGCGCCGCACAAATCTTATTCGATTTGTGTGAGGGCTGTGATATTGCCCGACTGCCTAGACCGAAGTAGGGGGTTTTCTTGAGGGGCTAAACCCGGAGCCTTTGATCTAAAAGTCTGACCCACAAGGCAGCGGAGCATCGTGAGGAGATGCAGTCCCATGGTAGCCGGTGACGAACAATTGGTTCACACGCCATTTGTCCCCTCGGGGTACTGGAGTCCATGTGCACCATTGGTTTGGAATCAGGGTTTCCCAACTCCTTTAGATGGACTCACTGTGTCCACCACCCGGTTAAAGCGCTGGATATTCTCTTTTTGTCCTCTCAGTTTCGTAAACAACACCCTCATCACGAGAAGGCAGTGAGCAAGACTTCCCTGGAAGAGGCTGTAACACGCGTGGCCATGTGAGAGCATTTCGAGAGGGATGGTAGTCCCTCCCTACTCTCGGCCGTACCAGGGCATTTGGGGGGGGGCAGCTCAAAGTAAGCTCATATTGAAGTCATAAAATCCATATGAGTTTATGGGAGCTGGGTTTGATATCATTTAGATTTTCTCATTCTTGTTAGTCTCCTAATTTGTACTCTAGAAGCATTATCAAGTAACATCTCCCGGTTACTTATGTTCATGTATTTTCAAGAGGTCTACATCATTTTTATTCTTACACCGTTACATCATACAGGACTCATTATTCATATCACTGAAATCCTACGTCGTCTTACTGTCTCATGAGCTCCATTAAATGACAATTCTTGCCTCTGATTATTCATGCCTTATCTCTAAGTATTCCTGTCTCAGTAGGGTGCAGGGTTTTTTAAACTAATTGACCAGGTATCTACATATGGGCCACACTCAAAGTATGAGGGGTGAAAATTCTACTCGGTTTTCCAAAATGAAATAAGTGGAGTGGGGTTTGAATTTTGGACGAAGATCCAAGACATTAGGACAACAACCACAATTCATGATGTGTGCTATTCAATGAATTTCGATAGTCGTCCTCGTATCAACCTTCTCGATCACTTCAAAAGAGTTGACATCTTTGAACTAAAACAGATTAGGTGGCGTTGGTCGCTATTACTTATTATATCTAGATGCCCCCAAATGCCGGGTGTGGCCCCTTAAGAAAAACACCTGCTTCAGTTTGAGCACCTGGGCAGTATCACAGCCCTCACACATATCAAATGAGATTTGTGCAGCGCATATGTATCTGGTGCTTCTTTGTACCAATATTTATGTGTTTAAATAAATAAATAAATAATATCTAGATAAACGTTTGTTATTTTCACCTGTATGTTAACAATAGTTCATTTGCGGAATTCCCCCACATTTAAATGACGGAAGCCAGATTTTCATACACATTAACTGCACTCTAGGTATTCGTATCAATCAAACTTCTTTTTGGTCACTCCATTGCTTATTTGCAACTGATAAGCACAGATCATACAAATAAACGGAAGTATCTTAAAAGTCAGCATAAAAATGTATCATTTAAAGTACCGATACTCGATATGAAGGAAATAAAATAATCAGATAAATAATAACATCTGGGAAAAGTAAACAGCCCATGGAAACAAAAAGACGAAAATGGCAAATAAAGGTATCATGGCCAATTATATATATATATATATATATATATATATATATATATATATATATATTGTCAACTCAGATCTATCACTCCCAGTTAATAAGAGAATTCGTTCATATAATAAGTTCGGTTTCTATTTGGGCTATAGTTTAAGAGTTAAAGTAATCAATCTTCAACCATTATTTTAGAAATTCTGGTAGTATCGTTTGTTCTCACTCCAAAAGTGTAACTTCAAACTCAGTAATTGGCCTTGTATTCATTCACTAAGCTACATTAACTGCCATTTCTTAGGAACTCTACATTTTAAAATAATGTTCCGAAATTGCGAATATGAACTTTTTTTTATACATCAAACATCCTCATGTTCTAACGAATTAAATAGTTTGACTGTTTTGGTTAATTTCACGGTCCTACTGAAATCTGCTTGTACGAAATTGTTCTATTGATAATATGGGAGCATTTTTTCAAATGTTTATTTATTTTATATATTCCTTCAAATCGACATTGAATCAATTGATATTCATTTTGACTATTTTATATTAGTTGCCTTTAGAAGGGTTTTTGAATCACAACAGAGTATTGCTCGTCAGCATCGGGAGGAGCTTGAAAACTTGTTGTCTGCAGATGCTCTAAATCCAGCAGTTCAAGAAAGGATAGCTGAGCTTATAAAGTCAGTGGTGATTGTTCCTCTTTCTGAAACTTAATGATTCTGTTTATGTCCACGGCTTTGTTACTGTTTTACGAGCTATCGGTATGATAACAGGGCTTGCGTTATCTTGTTAAACAACACAGTACATAGTGTTAAAACCTAACGGCTACTAAAGTAGTACATTTAAGCATACTTTCCAAATTGTTCAATCTTTTCCGAACTATTTAAATGATCAAACTCCACTCTACAATCTTCATGGGACGAGCTTGTGGCGATCCTTATTATAACTGTTGCGAAATTCCAATAGTTAACTGCTTTAGTTTCTTTCCAGAGGTCATTTATTTCACCTTCAGAGTAAAAGCTTCATATATAGTAATATTACTAGTAGCTTTAATTAAAATTTCTAAATTTGACGAGAGTTCTTATACATCAAAGTATTTTCCATAAATATTGATCTAAACTAGTAAGTATTTCTAATACTTTTTGAAGTTCTCAAAAAAGACCTATGCTTACTGACTGATTCATATCTGTGTTTACCGTAATCATGGGTGGTTGAGTCTTCAAGTGTGTTAGTCATCATGTTTATCTGAGCGATAGCAATAGTTTCTCAACCGTTGCTGCTACCTTGACGGGCTTGCCTATCATGATGAACCAATCAGGTTATACTGTTTTGCATGCTACTTATGTCGACATAAGTAGTATACAACATCAATCAGAAACGGAATGCCTGGCAGTGGAAGGTTGGGAAGATCGAATCGAAGAGAACGGGAACAGACAGTAATTGTTATGGTAATAAAGGAACGATAAAGTTTGAGATAATTAATGGAGGATTGGCAAATGAAGTATTGAACTTATGGTTTTCACATTTTACCAAGATACTTTGTAATTTTATATCAACATACATTCGCTTGTCCCCACCTGTGTTCTTGATCATTACAATACTGGTTGGAACAACCGTTCCTCAATGTCGTGCCATGACAGGCAGGTCGGCTGAAGAGCGGTAAGACTAAAGACAACAAACCCAAGGTCTGAGGGCGGTCGTACTGCTGGCTGTACAGAGGTGTGACGGAAGTAGGGTGTTTCTCTCAGACAACCAGCATGACAGCGATGATGCCTCCCACAAAGGAGGAGCGTGATTAGAAAAGGTTGACCATAAAAATGCACACTTCGCCTCACTATTGTAAATATTATAATAATTACCACAATGATTAAAGTTATCGGGTGCCTAGCAAAGACCTGTGAACTGCAAATACAAGAAAATCAGCTTGACTTCAGACCTGATCGTGGCTACATTGACCACATATTCACTATTTATTAGATTTTAAAGCAATAACATGCTCATCGGCGTCCGTCAATGACGGTTTTTCTTGACTTAAAAGCAGCACTTGACTCTGTAGACCGAGATGTTCTGTGGCAGTGTCGGTCATTAAAAAATGTACGTCAGAAGTATATAAACCTTGTGAAGGCTCTTTATTTTAACACTACCAGTCGAATGAGAGATTATGGCGAATTGTCATCTGATTTTACAACCCCAAGTGGTGTCTGACAAGGTTTTCCACTATCTCCATTTTTGTTTAATTTCATCATAGACCTACTGCTGGAAATAACGCTCTCGTCGACTGAATTTACAGGAATTGATTCCCTTCCAGGAGGTCCACTTATTGACTTAGAATACGCAGATGACATAGTTCTGTTTGGTGAAGACTCTGATGAAATGCAGTCCTTAGGTAGCACTGAGCAACAATCCCGAAATGTTCGGGATGCGTTTCTATCCCTCCAGATGCAAATTGTTGCTTCAGGACACTGGCCTGTGTCAACACCTGAAATAAGGTTGGGGAGTGAAGTATTCGAACGCGTCGACAACTTCACTTATCTTGGAAGTCTGGTCAGCCCAAATGTATTGGTATCTGACGAAGTGTGTGCATGGATTCAAAATGCTCATTTGGCTTTTGCCAACTTACGTCACCTATGGCGAAGACGAGATATCTGTTTGTCAATTAAGGGATAAGTATACTGTGCAGCAGTTTGTTGTTTTATTTTACGGTTGCTAATCGTAGCCATTAGAAGTAGAAGATACTCGTAAGCTACAAGTATTTGATGACAAGTGTCTTAGAAATATTGCCCGCATCTGCTGGGATCACCGGGTAAGTAATAATGAGGTAAGATGCAGGGTATTAGGGAATGATGGTAAATCAGTTGATGAGGTTGTGAATCTTCATCAACCGAGATGGTTGGGCCCCGTGTTACATATCCCTGAACACCGATTACCACGACGCGCAATGCTGACCAGTATTGGGGATGGTTGGAAGAGAGTTAAGGGCGGCCAAACCAAAACGTGGCATCAGCGCTTAAAGTCACCAACTTTTAGTGTGAGCCATGTTGGTAGATGTAGACTACTTGGTTGTGGTTTACGCGACTATCGTAAACTGCTGTTGTAGGGGTGTCAGTAGCCTGTGCAAACATCCACCTTGTGTCATTTCCAAGTTCATCTTTCCTTTTGTGATTATTACATTTCAATCTCGTTTTATATTTTAGTTTCATCGTGCCAATCAGGGATGGCAACTTTGGCCAATATATATATATATATATATATATAATATATATATATATATATATATGGCAGTGTATATTGTTAATGTTATCTGTCTGTTTTGTGTCAAACCATATGTTTGTGTTATAACTTTGGGAAATGTGGGATGACCGTCCTGGAATGACACCTGTTAGTTTATGGAGTCACATCAATCAACCGTCTTATTATTATTATTATTATCATTATTATTTGAACACAAATATTGGCACAAGGGCACCCCAGATATACATGCAAAACACAAAAAATCGCCATTTCATTTTGGTTGTGTGAAGGCTGTGATATTGCCCGACTGCCTAGACCGAAGTAGGGGGTTTTCTTGAGGGGCTAAACCCAGAGCCTTTGATCTAAAAGTCTGACCCACAAGGCAGCGGAGCATCGTGAGGAGATGCAGTCCCATGGTAGCCGGTGACGAACAATTGGTTCACACGCCATTTGTCCCCTCGGGGTACTGGAGTCCATGTGCACCATTGGTTTGGAATCAGGGTTTCCCAACTCCTTTAGATGGACTCACTGTGTCCACCACCCGGTTAAAGCGCCGGATATTCTCTTTTTGTCCTCTCAGTTTCGTAAACAACACCCTCATCACGAGAAGGCAGTGAGCAAGACTTCCCTGGAAGAGGCTGTAACACGCGTGGCCATGTGAGAGCATTTCGAGAGGGATGGTAGTCCCTCCCTACTCTCGGCCGTACCAGGGCATTTGGGGGCTTGAGGCGCCTAATATGGTTTAAATCTGAGGTCATTGAGAATCCTGCTATCTTTTATTTTTACTCACCTGATAAGTATCAAGATGCACTCATTTTGGTTAAAATTTATTTGAGCTATATCCCTTATAACTATTATTATTCTTGCCGTCCTTTTAATTTCTTGATATTGTAATTTCGTGTTGTATGGTTCATTTCTTGGTACCTAGCAGTGCCATTCTTTTTTTTTAGAACAAACGGAGTGTTTTAAGCAAAGGATATAGATGAGTTGTAATTAAGCATCAACTTGTGTATATTAAGGATTCGCTGGCTTCAAAAACGTTGATATTCACTGAATTAGGAGTAAAATAAACGAAGCCTCAGCGGTTAGAAAAGTATATGAAATTATTTAGTAAGATCGTCGATAGTGTATCTGAGTATAGGTCTTGAGATCGGGATTAGTCAAATAGAGAGTTTGATGATTGATACGACTCAAAATGAATTAGAGTATATCAGACGCATTCTGTTAATAGTAGCTACTTTTATTATTATATACTTACACAAATTTCTTTATTTTGTCTTTCATTCCATCTTTTTAAGTCTCTACGATTGTTGTCACTATTTTCTGCTTATCATTTTATATTCACTATGTCGCTTTAAGGTATGATGACTTGGACTTCTGAAAGTTATATCTTCACTTTACATTTTGATAGACAAAATAATATTGACATGCAAATGGAAAGTGCTCTGGAATATTATCCGGAAACATTTGGCCAAGTTTCAATGTTATTTATCAATTGTAAAATTAAAGATCAAAATATTAAAGCATTTGTTGATTCTGGAGCACAGAGTACGATTATGAGTGAGGATTGTGCACGACGTTGTAATTTAGATTCATTAATCGATAAAAGATGGGCTGGAAAAGCTTATGGTGTTGGAACACAAACTATAATAGGTCGAGTTCATAATGGATTAATTGAAATCGGAGGTATCTTCATTCCGGTTAGTTGAATTGATTAAATTCTTCATTTTAAATCAGTTGTGTTTAACTTGTATTTTAAAATATTGTTTTAGATGTTGTACTTCATATATAGATTTATTTATTTATTCAAACACATAAATATTGGTACAAAGGAGCACCAGATATATATGCGCCGCACAAATCTCATTTGATATGTGTGAGGGCTGTGATACTGCCCAGTTGCCCAAACTGAAACAGGTGGTTTTCTTAGGGGACCACACCCGGAGCCTTTGACCTAAAAGTCTGACCCACAAGGCAGTGGAGCATCGTGAGGAGATGCAGTCCCATGGTGTCCGGTGACCAACGATTGATTCATACGCCATTTGTTCCTTCAGAATACTGGAGCCCATGTGCACCATTGGTTTGAAATCAGGGTTTTTCAACTCCCCTAGATGAACTTTCCATGTCCACCACCCGGTTAAAGCGCCTGACATTCGCTTTTCGTCCTCTCACTTTCGTAAACAACACCCCCGCCACGAGAAGGCAGTGAGTAGGACTTCCCTGTCAGAGGCTATATATTCACGTGGCCATGTGAGAGCATTTGGAGATGGAGAGCGGACTCTCCACTCTCGGCTGTACCAGGGCATTTAATTTAAAACTTATTTTTATAATCTGTCTCTGAAATTTCATGTTAACCATCTGTGGTAAAGAATTGATATTAATGTAGCTTTCAGTAGAGAGTGTATCGTAGAAGATGAATTTGTTACCATTTGTTTACAAAAACATTAATTTTAATCATTAGTTTACATTTTTTTGAATGGATGACACTAACATCTTATTCAACTATGGTAATATGTCTGTTTAAATTAAAAAGAAATGCACCAAACATTCAAAATTAGTCATGAGAAACGTTTGGTTATCTTGTTGAGTAGATAGAGCTTAAAGAGCTAGATTTATTTATATCAAATAGTGTTTCAGTTATTAGTGGGATACACTATTAAATGCATTGAAATAATTATTGCGACTTTGTACTTGATGTTTTTCGCTATATGATTATAGTAAGGTAGTGAAATTATCAGATTAGAATTATTTCGGAAAGCACTTAGACAATATTTTTAATTTGTTTGATGTACTTCAATTTAGGTATGTATACATAATCCGAGTGATTTTCATCTATGCATCTCACGTGCCTTTTGGGGTTTTAAATAAATTATATATGATTTGATCCTTACTACTTCTTCTTCGTTTCTCTTCGAGACAAATGAGAAACAGTTAAGTTACGAGACATGATGGATTCTCTGAAAATGTCTGTTTTTGTCAGTTTTTATTGTTCAAGCTCTGTATAGTCACAAAAATTTACAATTTTTAAAGTGATGATGCGTTTGTTAGTGACAAAGAAGGAAATGTGACTGGTCTTGGGGAACACTAATTTCTAAATGAATACAGAAAAGTTTCTTTTGCAGGAGTTTTAGGTCTTTATCCATATTTATGCAGCCTGTCAAGTGTCTTTTGGGGGACAATGGCCATTGATTACTTAGTTGGTTTGACTTTTTATTTTTGTCAACAAATTTCGGTGGATACTTACTTTCAATCTTTTTTTTACATCGAAATTATTGATTTGTCAGATTCACGTGGTGGAAAATACTAAGTTACCTCTTTGGCTAATATAAGTCTAAGTACAAAAGCTTATCGGCTGATTGTTTCACGTGAAATTTCTGTGACAGGTCTTCCCAGAATTCCCTCGGTTTCACCTTGTCAGTTGTACATCCAGAAAGTAGTTATTTAGTTCACTCTTCATCTCAAGAGTGAATTTGAATGATTTATCATAGCTATTGAATGGATTTAGATTATTTCATATAATTCGTTGTCGTCATGAATGTAGATGAAGCAAGGATAGTAGTTGAAGCAAAATAATATGTATTGATTGCATTTCGTGGATTCCTTTCAACTATTTACAACCTCAATCGATTTAATAAACGTATTGACTAAACTTAAAAGTTACTACGTTGCATAATCAGAACCAATGAATGTCCGTTAAAAATTTCAAAGGTTATCGTTTAATATGTTTAATTATCCTGTACAATCTTCTCATGATTATATTATTTTTCTAGTTCAAATCTACTATGTAAATATGAGGTGGAATTAATCAATAAGAGTTAAATAACAGAAAAGATGGAGTTTAAGTGAATGTATTTAACATTTATTTTTATTTATTTAAACACATAAATATTGGTACAAAGGAGCACCAGATATATATGCGCCGCACAAATCTCATTTGATATGTGTGAGGGCTGTGATACTGCCCAGTTGCCCAAACTGAAACAGGTGGTTTTCTTAGGGGACCACACCCGGAGCCTTTGACCTAAAAGTCTGACCCACAAGGCAGTGGAGCATCGTGAGGAGATGCAGTCCCATGGTATCCGGTGACCAACGATTGATTCATACGCCATTTGTTCCTTCAGAATACTGGAGCCCATGTGCACCATTGGTTTGAAATCAGGGTTTTTCAACTCCCCTAGATGAACTTTCCATGTCCACCACCCGGTTAAAGCGCCTGACATTCGCTTTTCGTCCTCTCACTTTCGTAAACAACACCCCCGCCACGAGAAGGCAGTAAGTAGAACTTCACTGTCAGAGGCTATATATTCACGTGGCCATGTGAGAGCATTTGGAGATGGAGAGCGGACTCTCCACTCTCGGCTGTACCAGGGCATTTAATTTAAAACTTATTTTTATAATCTGTCTCTGAAATTTCATGTTAACCATCTGTGGTAAAGAATTGATATTAATGTAGCTTTCAGTAGAGAGTGTATCGTAGAAGATGAATTTGTTACCATTTGTTTACAAAAACATTAATTTTAATCATTAGTTTACATTTTTTTGAATGGATGACACTAACATCTTATTCAACTATGGTAATATGTCTGTTTAAGTTAAAAAGAAATGCACCAAACATTCAAAATTAGTCATGAGAAACGTTTGGTTATCTTGTTGAGTAGATAGAGCGTAAAGAGCTAGATTTATTTATATCAAATAGTGTTTCAGTTATTAGTGGGATACACTATTAAACTATTAAATGCATTGAAATAATTATTGCGACTTTGTACTTGATGTTTTTCGCTATATGATTATAGTAAGGTAGTGAAATTATCAGATTAGAATTATTTCGGAAAGCACTTAGACAATATTTTTAATTTGTTTGATGTACTTCAATTTAGGTATATATACATAATCCGAGTGATTTTCATCTATGCATCTCACGTGCCTTTTGGGGTTTTAAATAAATTATATATGATTTGATCCTTACTACTTCTTCTTCGTTTCTCTTCGAGACAAATGAGAAACAGTTAAGTTACGAGACATGATGGATTCTCTGAAAATGTCTGTTTTTGTCAGTTTTTATTGTTCAAGCTCTGTATAGTCACAAAAATTTACAATTTTTAAAGTGATGATGCGTTTGTTAGTGACAAAGAAGGAAATGTGACTGGTCTTGGGGAACACTAATTTCTAAATGAATACAGAAAAGTTTCTTTTGCAGGAGTTTTAGGTCTTTATCCATATTTATGCAGCCTGTCAAGTGTCTTTTGGGGGACAATGGCCATTGATTACTTAGTTGGTTTGACTTTTTATTTTTGTCAACAAATTTCGGTGGATACTTACTTTCAATCTTTTTTTTACATCGAAATTATTGATTTGTCAGATTCACGTGGTGGAAAATACTAAGTTACCTCTTTGGCTAATATAAGTCTAAGTACAAAAGCTTATCGGCTGATTGTTTCACGTGAAATTTCTGTGACAGGTCTTCCCAGAATTCCCTCGGTTTCACCTTGTCAGTTGTACATCCAGAAAGTAGTTATTTAGTTCACTCTTCATCTCAAGAGTGAATTTGAATGATTTATCATAGCTATTGAATGGATTTAGATTATTTCATATAATTCGTTGTCGTCATGAATCTAGATGAAGCAAGGATAGTAGTTGAAGCAAAATAATATGTATTGATTGCATTTCGTGGATTCCTTTCAACTATTTACAACCTCAATCGATTTAATAAACGTATTGACTAAACTTAAAAGTTACTACGTTGCATAATCAGAACCAATGAATGTCCGTTAAAAATTTCAAAGGTTATCGTTTAATATGTTTAATTATCCTGTACAATCTTCTCATGATTATATTATTTTTCTAGTTCAAATCTACTATGTAAATATGAGGTGGAATTAATCAATAAGAGTTAAATAACAGAAAAGATGGAGTTTAAGTGAATGTATTTAACATTTATTTTTATTTATTTAAACACAAATATTGGTACAAAGGAGCACCAGATATATATGCGCCGCACAAATCTCATTTGATATGTGTGAGGGCTGTGATACTGCCCAGTTGCCCAAACTGAAACAGGTGGTTTTCTTAGGGGACCACACCCGGAGCCTTTGACCTAAACGTCTGACCCACAAGGCAGTGGAGCATCGTGAGGAGATGCAGTCCCATGGTATCCGGTGACCAACGATTGATTCATACGCCATTTGTTCCTTCAGAATACTGGAGCCCATGTGCACCATTGGTTTGAAATCAGGGTTTTTCAACTCCCCTAGATGAACTTTCCATGTCCACCACCCGGTTAAAGCGCCTGACATTCGCTTTTCGTCCTCTCACTTTCGTAAACAACACCCCCGCCACGAGAAGGCAGTGAGTAGGACTTCCCTGTCAGAGGCTATATATTCACGTGGCCATGTGAGAGCATTTGGAGATGGAGAGCGGACTCTCTCCACTTTCGACTGTATCAGGGCATTTGGGGGCCAATGTATTTAACAAGATTAAGTAATATAACTCTAACCTGCTTTTGATTCGAATGAATACTATTTGATGGCTAATCTTTCATCATTCCTAAAACCTTTCTAAGTCTTAGTCAGAGTTGTCATATTTATACTGAAATGTAATATGAAATTCCTAACATTAAATTAGAAACAACATTGACAATTAGTAGGGTACTTGTAAGTGATCGATATGATGTTTATCTAGTCTTTCAGTATTGATCGAATTCTATTTATCAAATTGTGATGTGGCCATTAGTCTAAGTGGTTTGACATCTGGCTCACTATACCGAGTTTTAATATATGCTTTTGTCAACTACGTCGTGATTTGAATTCATTTATAATATATGTATCAAAATTTGTTTGAATGACATGTTACCATCTAAAGCATGTCTAACTATAGAAGTATTATAACGCAGACTTGAACCTTCATTATACCTACTTTGTTTTAAGTAACCAGTTAGTCTCACTGGCCTTCATGTAAATGGTATATCTCAAATAATAAGCTTGGTTTTTATAACTGAGTAGCGTTAATTTTATTATTATTATCATCACATGGAGGCAATCAAATATTATTTCCAGTTTATTCTAACATAAATAATTTCTCATCAGCTGTTGACAAATGAGAATCTTGCATATTGCATTCTGAATACATACTGACTAGTTCGTTTTTCAAGCAATCAACGCTAGTAGATGTATCAAGAAGATATTAGAAGTTTCTTTTGTAAATTATATGTAAATTCTCGTGTTTTTATTATTGCTTCCTTTTCTGTTCAGGTTTATTGGAGTGAACATTGTTTCTATTCAATGCTTGTTCTGATTTCAGTCAAGTTTATTATTGTAGTGGAAGACTACATAAATAAGCAGAAGAAAATAACAATAACTACTGTAATCATGTTAGATGTATCAATTAACGATTATGTATCACTTTTACTTACAAAAAATACGAAAGTGCCTATTTATTCCAGTTTACTAAGTGTTCCCATAAATGTTTTTCAAAACTATTTTGTTATATATAGTTTGTAGTTCTTTGATTAAAAATCCACTCTCATATGTTGTTTAAATTACGCGCTACTTAAAATGTCTGATGTTACTGATCATCTGTTTACTTTTGCGTTATTTTACAACTTACATAATCAATATTTTTGATTCAGTGTATAGTTTTCTAATTTATCTTATTCTAGACGTCTTTCATTGTACTAAAAGATCAATCTATGGATCTGCTCATTGGTTTAGACATGCTTAAACGTCATCAATGTTGCATTGATCTTAAGCGTAATGTTTTAGTCATTGATGGACGTATTGAAGCGCCTTTTCTACCAGAATCTGAAATTCCATTGTCCTTATCAAATCCATCTATTTTGGATAATGAAGATACAGATGAAAGGGTGAGTAATGCCTCATTGTTCTATTGGGTTAAGCTTTTTTTCTATTTTTTAAATTGATCTAAACTCGGCAATAATAAGGTTGGAAGATAAAGACATTGGTTTCAAGGAGTGTTTAGTTCTAGTGATTATTACTGTCTTTTGTTCCATTCTCTTTATATTGGATGATAAAATCTTAATAGTTGGTGAAAGATCGGTATTTGACATGTGTTTGCGAAGAATATTAGCAAAATATCTAAAACCGAAAGTGCTTTTCTTTTTCCATATTTCATTTGCATCATGCCATTCAATATAAAGAAAAAGAATCATAGAACGATATTAACCACTGAGAGTAAGCATCCTTTGAAACGACTTCTATGTCGATTGAATATACTAAAGCAGTCTTATAAGATCTTGATCTAGGTCTTGATCTAGAACAAACAGTACTGGCTATTCTACACACTACGGAAAAAAGCCCTTAAAAGACCAGTGAATGAAGAAAAGTAAATGATAGTAGATAACCATCTAAAAAAATAAAACGGAACAAGCCGAGATAACACTAGCTAAGTCAACCTACAGAACAAAATCACTCTGAATTGTGTTAAAGAGAGGAATACATTCTGTTGAAAGATAAGGAAAGTTGAGGAGGAGTGCATACATAGACAATCATTACTGAAATAAAGCAGCTCTTCTAAGTGAACAGTACTTAGAGTAGAAAAACATTAAAAATTATTGTGGCTATAATTGGCAACAAAAGCTTCAATAAAGAAAAAATAAGCCTACCAATAAGTAGTAAGATTTTTCTCACTTCTATTTATCCATTGCCTGACGAGTTTTGTGGTTGTTAACGAAGATTTTAACTTTCATGGCCACACTACTACATCGGAAATGGCCTCAATGCTCTGAATACATTGTTTCACTGATTAAACGCTATCAGAAGCAAGTCAGATATTAGTCAGCATGAAAGTTTTATCTCTTTCAGACGTATTCTGGTCATAGCATCATAAACTACACAATTATAGTTTCAAGAAAATAACTGACATTAGATTGTCAAATATAATTGACATAATTTTTAACCGGTAATAAAAATTGCATTCTGTTGAAATACACACACAAAATCGTTCCATTTCCTTTCTTTCCCATAAACCTTAATGAAAGACTTTTACTTTCTAGTCTCTTCTGGTTTATAACGAAATCTGAAATATTCTAAGCAGTGTGATAACAACACAATATGAAATTAGAATGGACATAACTTTCTTTGTACATGTTATTGTAGGTAAAACTAAGTAAAAATAAAGGTAGTCGTTGTAACGTCGATACAACATGGAACTTGTGCTCTTCTAAGAAAAATAAACAAAAGGGTGTAAAACTTAGAACAACACTTCTGCCTAATCGAATGATGGTTACACGTTTAATAATTTTTAGTACTAGTGGTTGGGTAAACCTAAGGAGTAAGTAAAGAGAGTTTTGACCTTATTTACTGGTTGTAAGCTAAATCCTGATACTACTTAGTCTTAATTCAACAAGTCGATGCTTCTGTACTATTCTGATATAGAGTTTTTTGACTACAGTTATTCAGTACCACTTATTGCTTAGATAATATTACTTACTTCCATTTAGTTCATTATATATACTAAGATTATTGTAAACCTTGAAAAATATTTGAAATTATGATGATACAGTTTAGGAAATAAACTCACTGAAATTTTTTCAATCATTGAACAATAATCTGTCCTGATCTGTAATTTAAATATATCCCCCTTAGATATTACTGTTTTCTGTGCGAGTTTCGTAAAAGTTTTCCTCCTTTTAAGTATTTTTAGTACACTGATTTGTTCACAATCTTATTATTCATATACCATGATACTCATACGACTTCATTATTATTTTCTTAGTTTGATGAAACACAAAAGTTAAAAATTCAAGTACTTGTTGATCGTGGTATTGCTCGTTCCGAAGCAATAGATGTATTACATCGTCATCAGTGGGATTTAGACGCAGCTTTAGCTTCTCATCTTCACAGCATGTTTGGTCAATCCAGATAATAAATTGGAACACCAATTCCTGACTATCCGTTTATTGTTCTTCGTAATTAATTTTCCGTTTTTTCTCTGAAAATGTATTCAGGGGTTTTGCTATCAGTCTATTTTGTTTCTTATTCATCTGTATTATTTTATTCTAACTTATCTATTAGCCTGTATGAATAAAGCAAACAAGTTCATTTGATGATTCCTTCTCGTTTATACTTCTTGTATTTTGTTAAAAAACAATTCTAAGTAAATTGTTAAAGTTGCCAATTTTTAATTGTATTGTCAATGCATGTTATTTTATATTTGTTTCTGTCAACCTAATATCAAACTCTCTGTTTTGTATATTCTTATTCTGAACAGAATGGTTGTATAGTTCTGAAATTATATTTTTATCTGTTCTGTAGGAGTTACTGATTGTTTGAGTTCTAAATATACAGATTTAAAGGTTTATACCTAGGGGAATTCATGTAAGAAATGGAGAAGTATCAAATATTTGTAAACTTACAATAATGATATTGCTTTTAATTGTTAATCTTACTAATGAATCAGTTGATAAGTCGTTCAATTTTCATAATGTAAGTCTTATAGTTGATATTTGTTTACGATTATTGCGAGTAATAGTGTAAAAAATATGATAAAGTCTTGATTGTTCTATTCAGAATGATTTGTGCACAACTAACCTGTGGTCTTTAATTTATCTAATCTTTAAAAGCTATCTTAATAAACAGAGTACTGGTTAGTGACTAGAAAAAAGTTGTTAATAGTTTAATGATGTCATTGAATGCTCGTTACTCTGGATAGAAAAGTGACTTTTATATTTTGACTCAATGGTCTTTGGGATTCGATATGAGATATAAAGGTTTCAAATTCTTACCTCTGAGCAAGACGAAACAGCTGTCTAATGCTCCATTGGTTTTGCTGGTTCTTTATGAGATGACAATTCTTTGTCAAAATCTTTCCTTACTTTAATATTTACGTTTACCTTCTACACTACCGTTTGTCGGATTTAAGTAGTACGGAGTATTTGCTTGAATTTGCTCGATATTTAACAGAAAAACGGAAATGATTCGACACCACTTAAATACACAAATGACTGAGTGGTAGAGATTTATAGGTCACTCACCAGTCAGTAGAAATTAAGACTTACTTTTCAAGCTTATTCGGTACCTACCATATCAAGCAAAATCTTTCCCACTTTGTTTTCAATGTCTTCCGCACACTGATAACTTGATCTAGCGATTTCTATATAGAAGTTATTAGATATCAGGCTTTTTTGGTCACAACTTATTATATATATGTTTTACAAGGCACTTCCGCCTCTAGTTTGATTTAAATGACAATCGACAATTGCGGATGTTTTTTGGGATTGAAATTGCCAATGAGCGTTAATTTTCTTCCAATTTGCCTACAGATGTAGGAAATTTCAGTGAACCATCTTGTGAATAAAGGGGCATGATGAAAGTCAAAGTGATCTATTGAAATGAACTTAATTACTTCAACTATTAGTTAACTTTATAAATTTGAAGACTAACGTATTAAACTGGAATTAAGATATTTAATGATAAACGAAATAAATCAATTGGTGTATTAATATTATTCTATAAATATTAGCAGTCTAAAAATTCCCACACAATATTCAAAAGCAAAGGATATTTGAACGAGCAATTGCTTCCAATAACTTCATCAGTGAACTGCACAGTTATGAACCCAAAATTATTGTGATATTTCACAAAAGTAAAAAATAACACGTTGCGTTAGTGAATTTTACAATGTTAAAAGTGGTTAACTTTTACATCTTTTAAATAAATAATTCAATACAAAATAAATCTGGTCAAATGTCAGCCACAGAATCAAACTATTATATTTTGAGTATAGTGTAGATAGAGAGATAGATAAACTAATGAACTCATGGAGAAGTAATGTATGTCCAGATAATTTCGTCAGAAAAGTTTTATGACAATTTCTGACAGCGGAGAAACCCTCTGTCTAAAGCTCGATCTTAAGAGGAACATAGCTGGTGACATTTTAATACGTCGACTCAAAAGATTTATTGAAAAAACATTTCATACCGTCACGTTACATGTAATCTTGTTAACTAAACGAATACTTAAATGACAAGTCAAGGATGGGTTACCGATGATGGGCTCCTCCGTGTATGTATACCAATTCAACTGTTCCCGTGGAGCTAGTTGTATAGGAATTACTCAGGCGGCTGTACCCTTATGTGCTCTTGAACATGTACCAGGGTGGTTAGGGAAATTAGTTGCGGAATGTGTTACCAGCATCATTTTTCACTTGGCAGATAGTGAAAATCATACTAAAATAGGTGAAGCTTTATGTGTTTTGTATCAAGTCTCAATCAACCTACTTACAGGAGTTAAACTACGAATCCACTACATAGCTGAGGTCATCTGATGGACTGGACGTGTTATTTTTGGCTTTTGTAAAATATCATAGTAATTTTGGGTTTTATAACTGCATAGCCCAATGATGAAGTTATTGAAAGCAATTGTTCGCTCAAAATTTTTTAAATTTTTGTGTGTAAATATTACTCATTCTTATTTGACGGCATACTATTAAAGCGAAACTTTAGTTTGCACTAATACAAAGGATGGTATATTAATTTTAGATGATAATAAGGATTCTCGTGATGAACTTGTAAGTTTTATGACTATAATTTGATTGTAAGTTTTATCACTGACTGATAGGCAATCGGAAAACCACTTAAGACTAAGGAACAGTCAAGTCATTTAGTTCTAGTTTGAAAATCTTATGTAGTACATATCCATACCCATACACAAACCTTTGAGTCTCACAGAGTGTGATAAATCTTGTTGATTGAACGCTATACTCGGATCCTAAGCTAGTCTTGTACCCCCAAGCTAGGACTACACAGATAATTAAATACGAGAAAAAGGGCACAAAATATGGGGGAAGCACTTTACTGCAAAGGTTCATTTATGTTAAAAAAAAGCAGGGTTTTTATAGTATTTTAGAAGTCCTTGGGTTTTCCTGAAAATTCTAGAATACTACTAAACATATTAGCAGTGTAGACATCAGCCAATCAGAACCTCTACACGTGACTTTTCATTTTCGCGATATTTCTAGCAAAACTTCTAATCAAACGGTGATTGGATAAAATGCTTCTTAATGTTTCCTGAGCTTATCAAGTCTATTGCGAGAAATTTTCAGGATCACCCCAACAATGAATTTGCAGTATTTGGGTGACGTAAATGAGGACAAACTGATTGTCTGATATTTTCTAATTTGGTTTTTAGTGAGAATAAACTTCGCATTCTAGTTGGTTAAATTTTTACAGTCCACAAATTTCAAAATAAATATTCAATCTTTAAGTTGAGATGATATAGTTCAGTATTATTTGCAACAGCTTAGTAGAACTTCCGAACCACATATTTTCAACTGTGTAAATTCACTCGTTTTATATTTGCTTTAGCTGACTGATCATTATGTTTTAACTACATATACTCTTGGACCTTTCCCGAAAGCTTACAACCTATTGCAACACTAGTTTTGTATATTTTACTGTTCAATTGTTTCTTTGAAGGAATGTGAGTCGATTACAAAACAATTCAAGTAGCAAATATGTATGCCAAGTCCTGCCTTTTTATATATAACAGTGAAACGTACATTAAAAAATACGGTTTATTGATGTATCAATCGGAATCGAGAAAACTATTTCTGGTTTTGGGCAAATTTTAAAAAATGAATGACTTTTATTACAAAATGCGCGATGGAAATACTTGTATCGTCCTTAGGAAGTTTGAAATTTTAAGGGACAATTCTTTCGCCAATATATATTCAAAATGACAATGGTGCCCAATCCTTTATAATTAGATTTTATCTATCATTTTTGCTACATTTCATATTGTTTAAAGTAAACTAAAATTAATTTCATTATTTGTTATATCCCCCGGTGAATTACGAATGTTAACTTTTAGGTCTATTTATCGACCAATGTATTATGCGTATTTCCTATTGTACAATTGTTACGTAACTAAACTGTTCATATTCGTGTTTCTCTTATCATGAGCTTTATTTTGATCTTTGATTTATTATCATACGATTTTTGAGTTATACTCAGTTATTGATTACTTTGGTTTGTATAAAAACCCAGTATGTTTGTAAATAATGATTGATACCACTGAGGCTGTTATTGGTGTTTTGGACTTAATTGGTTGGGCTAGGCAGATCGCAGGACCGGTTAGCACTCTAGGCTGCTCGTACGGGTTTCGTGTCAGTGTTCCAATCAATAATTCGCTGCTCTCTAATTGGCGGTCTCATCAAATCACACCTCAACAAGGCATCCACCCGGCTACAAGCATAACATTATTGATTCATTGAACAACAGATATGTTAGCTGAGCAGGAATGTTAAGACAGATGACATTTTCTATATAAGACATTATAATATCATTTTGACGACTATAATAATTTTCTTATAATTTTATCTCCGCAACTGCTTAACAGTCCTATCAATAACTGATTTGCAAGCGATGACGAATTACCTATGAAATTATTTATAGCTATGAAATGGATTGACAGAAATTGACCGTTTATCTTAAATAAATTACACTTTTATCAATCTATTTATGCAAAAATACTTCTACAAGGTGTAGATTGGAGAAGTTATAATAAGCCTTAATAAACTAATTAAATTCCTAATGTTACCATATCCTAACGGGTTTCATTACTTTTGTTGCAAAACACTTAACTAATACAAACTATCTGCTTATTAAATCCACTCGGTGTTGTTTGTTTGAATCTTCCCATTGATTTTTAGGACCGATTGATCAGTCTCCTATTGGTTTATGTGCATATCGCCTCGATATAGCCTTAATTCGCAAGCATTATAAGCAAAGATGGATATTGGCTAGTAATGAAATCCAAGAAGCGCCTTTTGTCCTATTTGGGACTCGTCAAGTGGATGTGCATCAGGATTCAATAGCTGAGTGGATAACGTGATGGCGTTTGAAGTGAAAGGTACTGCGTTCGAGTCTCAGAGTGAACATCAACTCTGAGATTCAGGTACATCCAGCTGACGAGTTCCAAATAGGACGAAACGCGCATCCTGGATTCCACTGTTAGCCACTGTCCATCTTTTTCTTTAAAATCACATAGTCATCTTTTAAATCGCTTAAGCTTGATTAATCAAGAGTTTTCCGTACACCTTTTTTTTATTCACTTGACAACTTCAGACAATATTTATCACTTAAAAGATCGGTTTCTTTTTTTGTTTATGCATAAATAATTATCTTCCATAAATGATTGAATTTAAACTAAAATCTCTACTATTCATTTTTGTTTTAAAGAAAAGAAAAAAAGAACTAATGAAATCTCCTAATTATTATTCCATTTTAAAGGAAATAAACAATAAAATAAAACATTAAATAATAATACTAACCTGTAAGGAGAATGATTTAAGAAAAAAAGGTTTTTATTATGATTAAATTTGTTTCTATGTGATTTTTTTCCATTTTACAAGTTTACGGTCTAATTTTTCGTTTCTTTTTTTGTTTTTTTTAGTAATAAATTATAAATGATGAATATTGTTCATTTTAATCACATTACTACTTATTGCCTATTTCTAAAAGCAATTACACAATTTAGATTATTTTATTGTCTTTTTTAGACAAAATGCAGAGTCTTCTGTTGGAACTGAGTAATAATGCCAGGATGTTTGGGATGCGTTTCTCCCCATCCAAATGTAAATTGTTACTCCAGGACTGGCCTGCGTCAACACTCGAACTAAGGATAGGGAGTGAAGTAGTCGAACGCGTTGACAACTTCACTTATCTTGGAAGTCTGATCAGCCCTAATGGGTTGGTGTCTGACGAAATCTCAGCACGGATTCAAAAAGCTCGTTTGGCTTTTGCCAACTTACGTCACCTATGGCGAAGACGAGATATCCGTCTATCAATTAAGGGACGAGTATACTGCACAGCAGTTCGTTCTGTTCTACTTTACGGCTGCGAAACATGGCCATTAAGAGTAGAAGATACTCGTAGGTTACTAGTATTTGACCACAGATGCCTTAGAAATATTGCTCGCATCTGCTGGGATCACCGGG